CTCCTCCCCGCGGCCCCTCCCCGGGGTTTGCGCTTTAACCGCCCTCCCTGCTGTCCCTCGCAGGCGCGTCGGGACACCCCGAGGCATCCTCCCCCGCCCGCGGGCCCGCCAGGCGCAGCTCGTGTCCGCGCTCGCATCTCCCGATCGCGGCTGCGCTGCTCCCCCTTCTGGTCTTGGGACTCCCGGCGGCGTCGCCCCTCCAAACATGACTCGCGATTTCAAACCTGGAGACCTCATCTTCGCCAAGATGAAAGGTTATCCTCATTGGCCGGCTCGAGTAAGTGATTTGTAGCCCCGGTGTAGCGGTGCGGCGGCAGCCTTTCCAGAGGCCTGCTGCCTGCCTTCCCATCGTTTCTTCTCCGGTTCCTTTCTGCCCTTCCTCTCCCTCGCTTCCCGTTACCGTTACTTGGAACCCTTCATTTTAGTTTTCTTTTTTTTTTTTTTTCCCCCAGTACTCCTCCGTGCAATTGTAAAATTCTAGGTTTTCCTTCACACCCGCGGCTTCCCTCCGGCTTGCTTTTGAGTCTCTGACAGGTGTTCTTCCCAGGAAATGTTTAGAGATGACATTCAGTTCATGTTCCATTGTAGATGAAATAATCAAGTATGGTTTTTATGTTTAAAAATGAGTGAAACCTTGAAATTTCCTTAAATTTTGGAATTTTGAATAAAATACAGGTCGTCAACGAAATAGGCAGTTTACAAACCCTTGCATGTCAGATGTGATTAAACTAGATTTGTACATATTTAATACAAGATTTACAGTTGGTGATGCACTTGGATCTTTTTATTCACATTCCTTGCCTTATGACCTTGAAGAAGTTGTTTTACGTTTTTTTGTTCTCCATAGGCAAAAAGGGGGGGGGGGCGTGTTAGACCATACCCTGGGTTAACTGTAACCGGAGAAGTCTTAAGGACTCAAGATGTGACAGAAACACCCAAGCTCCATTTTCAGGAGGAAAAAAAAAAGTTTTTTTTTTTTTTTGTTAGTTTATAATGGTGCCTAGGATCAGAACATTGATGGATAGTACTTAAAGAATTTTGACTAGATAATTCAAAATCATTTAAAAAAATAAATTGTGGTGTTCTGAAATTGTAATTTTTTTATACAATTTATTTGTTTTTATTTCATTGTTTTGTTTTTCGAGACAGTTTCTCTATGTAGCCCTGGCTGTCCTGGAGACCAGGCTGGCTTGGACAGAGATCCACCTGCCTCTACCTCCCAAGTGCTGGGACTAAAGCTGTGCACAACCACTGCCTGATTCATTTATTTTTTTTTCCTATACATAACTAATCTTTGAAAGGGTTTTCTTAAAAATGATAAATCCCATAGTTTTAATCCTGTCCGCAGGGAGGCTAGGGAAATCCCTTTGTTAGACAGAGTCATTACCCAGAGTACGACTGCCCTCTTCCCCAGTCCATAGATACACCTTTTTGGTAGAGCCTCACTGGGACAATTCTCAGTCATATACTTTGTCTGTATTTGGTGTTCTCATTTGTTTCCTACAGGAAACCCTCTTAACTATTGCTTTGTGCATGCTTTGACTTTTACATGTATTGCAGACATCTTTAGACCTAAAGTTGAATTTCTTTCTCCTCCTATATGGTTCTCTTAATTCTATAACCATGCACTTCTAAAACATTGTATTTCAACTTGAACTAAGGCTTGCTGGACTTGGGAAGGTTTAAGGTCCGTTCCCCCCCACCACCACCACACTTTATGGATGTTAAGACATCCATGCTTATTTTGAAGTGTCATAAAGTCCAGGGTTATCTGATACCCATATTCAGAGTTCCATGTAGTTAGAAGCCAGGTATAAATGCTTTAAAATTTTCTACTTTTGAGGGCTGGAGAAGGGGCTCAGGGGGTAAGAGCACTGGCTGCTCTTCCAGTGAGTCTTAAGTTCGGTTCCCAGCACTCACATCAGCTGCTTCAAACCACAATGTTCGGGAGATGGCTCCAGCTCAGCATTGGCATATTTGCACACATGTGCACATATTCATCAAACATGCGCATACTCATACGCAGACACATACACCTGTATTTAGTTAAAAATAGTTTAAAAAATAAAAATTTTTTTCAACTGCTGCTTGTGGTGGTGGTGGTGGTGGTGGTGGTGGTGTTGCAGTTGCACACCTTTAATCCTAGCACTCCAGAGGCAGGTGGGTCTTTGTAAGTTCAAGGTCAGTTTGGCCTACAGAGTGAGTTCCAGGACAACCAGAGCTGTTATACAGAGAAACCCTGTCTTGAAAAACAAAAAACAATTTTTTATTTTTCTATACCATCCTCCCTATATCTTGGGTGATTAAAGAGGTAGTGCTACTAAAGGTAAAAATAGCCTTTGAAGGATCAGAATATTTTCCTATTGATGGGTCTCTTCTTTTCTTTAAAATTTATTTTTCCTCCATGTAGCTCTGGCTGTCCTGGAAGTTCCTCTTTAGACCAGGCTCTGCCTCCCAAGTGCTAGGATTAAAGGCATGTGCCACCACCGCCACTTAAAAAATTAGTAATTTAAAAAACCTTTATGCTTATGGATGTTTGGCCTGCATGTGTGTCCGTACACTACTTCCGTGATTTGTACTGTACAAAAGATTTTAGATCCCTGAAACTCAAGTTAGACAGTTTGGAGCTGCTATGTGGGTGCTAGGGATTGAACCTGGATCCTCTGGAAAAGATCAGCAAGCATTCTTAACCACTGAGCCATCTCGCCAGTTACAAGTTCTGCTTTTAATGAGTTCATTTGGATTGGAATAGAATGTTTTTAATCTCTTCCCTCTCATTTTCTTTTTCTTAGAAGCCCCTGAATGTGTTTTTTGTGGGTTTTTTGTTTTGTTTTGTTTTTTTGAGACAGGGTTTCTCTGTTTAACAGCCCTAGCTGTCCTGGATTAAAGGCATGCTCTACCACAGCCCAGCATTTTTCTGACCTTATTGTTACTCAAACATTGGGAAGTAATGCCTTCCTGTGTTTTACGTTTTTTTTAAAAAATTTATTTCTGTGTGTATGTTTGTATGCCATATGTATATGAGTACCTGAGGAGGCCAGAAGAGGGTGACAGACCCCCTAGAAGAAGTGATTGAAAGGGGCTTGTGCGGGTGTGAACCCAGATCCTTTGGAAGAGTTGCACGTGCTCTTAACCACTGAGTCACTTCTCTAGCTCCCATTACTCAGATTTGTAGAGACCTCCTGCAGGATTGAGATGCCCTATAGGAAATGCTTGGTGTCAAATGTGGTTAAAGATTAAGTAACTGGGATTTTAGGAAAGCTAATTGTGGTATACTGCCTTAAGATTTGCTATTGGGCTGGACAGTTGTGCCACAGCCTTTAACTCCAGCACTTGGGAGGCAGAGGCAGGTGGATCTCTGAGTTCAAGGACAGCCTGAGCTACACATAGAAACCCTGTCTCTGAAAAACCAAAAAAGGGGGGTGGGGCGTGGTATAGGTTTTGCTACCAAATGAGTTCTGGGGAAAATAAAATCTTGCCTTTTAGAACTTATTTGAATGGATTTGTAAAATGACTTGATTTTGTATCAGATCCATTTGGGGTATTTTATTCTGAGTTCACTCATGTGTGTTGAGATGTGTAACATTTAAAAAACTTTTAACTTTTTTGATCTTTCTTTTAGGTAGATGAAGTTCCTGATGGAGCCGTGAAACCACCCACAAACAAACTACCCATTTTCTTTTTTGGAACTCATGAGACGTAAGTCCTGTTAGCATTTTCAGCTCAAATGACAGTTCATTTTGCAGAGGTTAGGCGTAGAACAAAAAGCAAGTGGAGATTTCAAATTTCAAGGGGAAGTGACGATGAAGTAGAAAACTTGACTATATTTTTAAAGACAGGGTCTCATTATGTAGCCCTGGCTGGCCTCTTTTGTTCCATGTAGACCAGGCAAGCCTGAACTCACAGAGATCAGCCGGTGTTTGCCTCCCATGTTTGAGGATAAAATGCCACCGTATCTGGACTGAGATAGTAAACTTAAAAGTGATCTTGAAATTTTATAATAAGCCTTTAAGTCCCCTTTAAAATTTTTTAAATTTATTTTTCAATTCAATGCTGGGGACATTTGTTGTTTGTTTTTGAGACAGGATATCACTGTGTATCCCTGGCTTAGAACTCGCTGTGTAGACTTGGTTGGTATTGAGATTCATCTGCCTCTGGCTCTGAAGTGCTGGGATATAAATGTGCCCTCATGCCTGACTGGGCACTCTTGTTTTAAGCTAGAGATTTAAGACACTACATTAAAGACATTAAGGGAGAAATTAAAGGGAAAGTTGGACACAGGGAATGAGGGGTGGAAGTGATCAGAATGTGCATGCTATGTACATGTATGAAGTTTTCAGAGTTAAAAAAAGTGAAAAAAATAATAGATGCTATGTGATCAAAAAGTTATCCTCTTAGTAATATCCACTTTTTCAAGAGTGATGGCTGGCTACAAGTAGCAAGGCTTTGAGAATTATTTGTTAGTAAAATAAGGACTACCTGGCACTGTGTTAGGTCTTACTAGCCCCACGAAGGGTGTGAAGAAGAGAAGCAGGACGCCCTGTGTGTTTCTGTGATCACCAGAGGCAGTCTGTCTGACCTGCCCCAGGTGGGTGTATGGCTAGAGAACTGATTGGGTAAAGGAAGTTAGTATTCTGTACAGCGGAATGTTGAACTGTTTTCTTTCTTGTAACCACATGTGACTGATTGAAGGGTATTGTAGACCAGGCTGGCCTCAAACTCACAGAGATCTGCCTGCCTCTGCTCCTGAGTGCTGGGATTAAAGGTGTGCACCACCTTCACCTGGGAAGTTAATAATACTTTAATTTCAAAATAGGTTTAAAATATTTTAATCTACAGTGGATATACATACCATTTACCTTTGGAAAGACAGTGCTGCTGTATCCATATTGTTGTGGTTATTAACTTTTAAAACAATTCTTTAAAATAAATTAATGATGAACTAGGTGTATGATGGTCTTTTGTGTTCCCAAAATTTGGGAGGGTAATTATTTATTTGAATTTTTAAATTTGGATTTTTTCTAAGATGGAAGTCTATTATAATCAGGAGTTTAGAGAGATGGGGAAGGAAGACTATAGATAAAGAAGTAGTAATTCAGGAGAAGTGTACTAACTCATAATTGATTAATTTTGAAATTTATTTATAGCTCTGATTGGCCTGGAACTTGCTGTGTAAACCAGGCAGGCCTTGAATTCACAGACTGACCTGCCTCTGTCTTTGGATTGCTAGAATTAAAATTGTGCACCACCATTCCTGGCCTTAAAGATTTGCTTGTGTGCATTTAGAGTAGAATTCAGTGGTTACTGTATCATTTTCCCAGTGTACAAAAATCTGATTCTCCTTAAGCCTTTTGTCATTTATATATTTGTGGAAGTCAAGTTTTGAATACTAGACTCTGACCTCTTAGGTATACTGACCATGCATGGTATCTTAGACCTAGCTTAGTCAAAACTGATTTTTAGTAACTGGTTCTGATACGGACCCAGTTAAAAACTTTTGCATTACTAGACTCAAAAGTCTGGCTCAGTGCTTCTCAACTTTCGTAAAGTGACTCTTTAATACAGTTCCTTATGTTGTGGTGACCCTGGCCATAAAATCATTTTGTTGCTACTGTAATTATAAAATGGTTGCTACTGTAAAATTATAACTGTAGTTTTGCTACTTTTGTGAATCGTAATGTAAATATCTGATATGCAGGATATCTGATGCAACCCACAGTTTGAGAAACACTAGTCTATATGTTAACCTTGATTTCATAGCAGATAATCTCTCCCATTTCCCACAAACTCCTGATTGGCCTCAAATTCAAGTTCAAGTTCATGCTGTAATCCTTCCTATAAGTGTTTTTACGTTGGTGTACTCCAGATATATAATCAAAGTTATCTTTGTATTTCATTCAGATCATGCCATTTCCTGGTCCAAAACTCTTCACTGACTCCCTATTATTACCAATAACTTAAATGATGAGCTAGCACTGAATGCTAGTTATGAGGCCCTGTATGAACTAACCTGTGTTTACCCACTCAACTTTGTTTTCTCTCTCACAGCTAAAACAAAACAAAAAGCAAACAGACAATAATGAAACAAAAGGGCCATTAAAAAAAAAGAAACCATGGGAGTCCGTGTTTCTCTTTTTAATATTCACTTATTTATTATGTATACAAGTGTTGTGCCAGAAGAGGGCACCAGATCTCATTATAGATGGCTTATGGGCCACCATGTGGTTGCTGGATATTGAATTCAGGACCTCAGGAAGAGCAGCCAGTGTTTTTAACCTCTGAGCCATCTCTCCAGCCTGAGGGAGTCGGTGTTTCTAACCACAAGTTTTGATTGTATGTTAGTGCATGGTTTATGTCGGGGGAGGGGGGGCACAAAGAGGGTAACTTTGTGGGTTCGGTTTTTCTGTTTCTACCTTTATGTGGGATGGGATCTGGGACCTAAATTCATGTTCTCAGGATTATGTAGCAAGATTTCAATCACTGAGCCAACTCCCCATCCAGCCCACAGTGGGTTTTTTTTTTTCCACTACCTTGTTTCACCTTGCCTGAGAGTTTTCTGCTTTTTTTCTGGAAAGGTTATGTTATCAGATATTGAAGTCAGATCTTAGCTCAGTTCATCCTGTTTATATTTATATTCTCTATTGAAATGATGCGTGAATTTTGTTTCCCTTCTTTTGACTACAATTAGAGAGCCCAAACAGCCCTATCTTGTCATCACTTAAGGGGCTGACATGTCCTAGCTTTTAAATATTTGATAATGGAAAGCTCTTGTGCTAAAGTCCTCTGTTTATGAATTTTCTGCTAACATACTGGACAATACTAAATACAGCTAGATTAGAAATCATTCATTTACTTGTTACATGACCTTGGGCAGGCCTTTTCCTAATTTGCAGAGTAAGAATGATAATAGAATCTACCTTGGAAGTTTGGGGTGCATTCAGGGTGTTACATAAAAGGCTTGGACATGTAATATGTTTGGCATGTGCTAACCATTAAGTATTTAAAAATGTATCGCTTTGGGCTGGGGAGATGGCTCTGTCAGTCAAGTGTGGACTAAGCGTGAGGACCTGAGCTCAGTTCCCAATATCCATGTGAAAACCCGAGGGCAGTGGTGTGCTTCTGTAACTAACACTGGTACAGAGACAGTTGGTCAGCTCTAGCCCAATCTGTGAGCACATTACAAGGTAGAGGACAACTGAGAAGACAGCCTGGCATCCTCATTGCCACCTGCACACACACCTGAACAGAGGCATGCTCAGACACACACATATAACATATTGTAAAGCTTTGACAGGTTCTTGATAATATCTTTTCTTGGATTTATTTAAATTAATAGTAACTCATGTTTTGTATTTTATATATATAAGTTATATATTTATAATATGTGCATATATAATTATGTATATTAGATGTGTAAGTATATAACAAATGTATATTTATATAAATTTAAAATTAATAGTAACACATTGTTTCCTTTTTTCCTTTGGTTTTTTTGAGACAAAAAGTTTCTCTTTGTAATAGCCCAGGTTGGCCTCGCATTCACAGAGATCTGCCTGCCTCTGCCTCCTGAGTACTGGATTAAAGGTGTGTGCCATCACCACTTGGCACTACATATTTTTTTGAAGCTGCTACCTACAGTGTTTCTCTGAGGTTTTTTTTTCTTTTTTCTTTTTTAACTATTCTGGCTACCTGAAGCAGTACTCTTAGTTGAATTTCTCTGAAATTATAATAGTTATTTTGCTGCTCTTAGTGCTTTTAATATAAAAGTTGAATGTTAGCTGTAGGAATCTTAAAAATATATGTTGTATAAATTGTTTTAAAACCTGCCTAATTCAGTTTCAAGGTTGAAGGTACATGGGGAGTTAATGGTGGTCACACAGAAGAAATGAAGGAAGGAGTCATAGAATTGAGTTTTTTATTTCCTTCTACAATAGTAATTCCATCCAGCTTCTTTCTTAACTCCTACCACCAGAGCTACATGTGGCAATGTTAGGTGTGTCTTAAGACTCCCACACCATAGGTTGGACTGTGATTAATGTGAACAGAGCAGCAGGTCCATGGCACTTAGTGCCGCTCTGCTTGTGCATTTGATTGTCTAATGAGTCATTTCTCTATAAAATTAAATGCTGTTATATAGTATAAAGTATTGAAAGTTTTTAAAAAGTTGCTATTGTGGGTTACGGATGTTTTGTCTGCGGGCCTGTCTCTGCACCACATGTGTGCATGGTGCCTGCAGCAGCCAGAAAGGGCATTGGATCTCTTGGGACTGGAGTTGTGAGCCACTGTGTGGGTGCTGAGAACCAAAACCTGTTGGAGCCAGTCCTCTGAACTGCTGAGCCATCTCCCTAACCTCTTCTATGGACTTTCTGAAACAGTCTCTTGTATTCCAGGCTGACCTTGAACTTGCTGTGTAGACAAGTAGGACTGAACTTCTGTTCTTCTGTCTGGTCCTTCTGTCTCTTCTTCACTTATGCTGGCGTAACAAATTTCAGTTGATGTGGCGCTGGAGATTGAACTCCTCCAGGCTTTCTGTAGTGGAGGCAAACATTGAGCCCGCTGTCCTACATCTGCAGCCTTTGATGGCATACTACAGTTGAATTTTTAGTATTTAGTTTTTGAGACAGGGTCTGTCTTCAGTGCCCCAACTGTCCAGGACCAGGACAGACCTGGATAGCCTTAAATTCACAGAGATCCTCCTG